AAACAAAATCGATCTTGTAAAGTTTTTTTTAAACGATTGGTCAGATCCCGAGCGATTCAAATCTACTATCGGAGATACACTTATATTCTTCACATTAGAAAGTCGATGTTATCAGCTTAGAGTCGTGGACAACAAAGTAGTATCAAAGTTAGAAGAAGACCTTTGCTCCAACCAAGAAGAAGCAGATACCAAAATGTTTCTCTGTTGCAACCATGCAACTCAGCTCATTCCACATCCAAATATTTGTTTATCGACTGTTGACAGCGATGTTGCTATCTTAGCCGTGTATTACAAAGCACAAATACCATGCAATCTGTTTGTTCTGATAGGAATAAAGGGAACAAAAGAATCCTTGCAATTTCGAAGATTTTGACTGCATTGGTGAACAACTGGCTGTCGCTCTTCCTGCTCTACATGCATTAACTGGTTGCGATTCAACTAGTGCGTTTTTTGGTATAGGCAAACAGAAGGCATACAAGATCGTAAAGATCTGCAAACGGTTCCAAGAAGCATTATCAAAAATGGGAGAAACGTTCGAGTTCAATGAAGCTCTCTTTCCCGTAATTCAAGAGATGATTGGTGAGTACTATGGCATCAAACGCTGTACAAGTATCAACAAAGCACGGTATCAAAAATTTTGTACCAAAAATAAGATCCCTGAGCCACAACAGTTGCCGCCCACCGTCGATGAATTGCTCCTTCATTGTCAGCGCGCAAACTATGTGACATGCATTTGGAAGTTAGGTCTGACCCCTAACTGTTATGCTCCCACACCTGAAGGACACAGTTGGCAAAAGGTTAATGGAATATTGGAACCTAAATGGATGAATCAAAAACCTGAGCCAGATTCCTTACTGGAGTTCTTATCCTGCAGCTGCATAAAATCAGGATGCCAAAACAACCGATGTATATGCATTGCAAACGTCTCGAAATGTACCGACTTATGTAATTGCACCACGTGCACAAACCAATCACAAGATGAAGATGATCTTGACACATACACTTCATTTGACAGTGACGAGGAATAAGAATATATTCTCTATTTGAAATCATTATTAGTTTGCAAACAATGAACTACTAGCATAATCGCAAAAATTCAAAAATTAAATTGTGTGATAGAATAATTTTGATGTTATGCATGCTACACAGCAAATGAAATTATTTGAAGTACCGCCAAATTAGATATGCGATGGTCGAAATATCGCGGGCTTATTTCTTCTCCGACTCAATTTTCATCATAACACAAAAGTCATCGAGTTAGCGCAATAAAACGTGTTGGCTTGATTTCACAAGAAAAATTACCAAGGCCAACATCTGGATTTGTGTTCTATATCCGTACTCGGACAATTTTAAAGCAAAATTGAATTGCCCCGCGATATGGTGAGTTTTTTTGCCGCCATCTGGCGGACTATTAGTGTTTTCAACCCTACTTGGTAACAGTCGATAATTTGGGCATGATCCTATGAACAGCAAGAGACCTTAACAGATGTTTGTGAAAACCATCAGTTGATAACATATCACAAGAAGAGGAGAAACCAAATCAAGTGAGTTTGGAAGGGATTCCTTAACGAAAACTGCACTGCTAACGTTGAAAGCTATCAATGCAGAATAAATTTAGAAGAAGCTTTTTTCAATGGATACCAACCAATAGATGCTATCACATAAATACATTGATTGCAGCTGCTAAAAGAAATTTTAACTGGAAAACTCTTTTAAACATGTATATTGGGTTTCGTTAGCATCCCGGTTTCCATCTAATCTTTAGTAAGGTGCAGTATATTCATCACTTTTTCTGATTGACGTCGTACCTACTCTGCATTGATAGATTTCGAAAAAAAATTAGCGCACAGTTTTCGTTGAGAATCGCTTCCCAAATCTATGTAAGTTAGCCTTCCTCTCAGTGTGATATTTCATCAACCATCAAAAATGGGTGAAGGCGTCCTGCTGTTGATCAGTTTATGTTCAAATTATTTGCTATTTCCATGTAATCTTGAAGATATTAACCAATCTTTTTCTATATCTTCTTGTGTACTTCGATTTTTACTCACACTGTTATTTGTGCTTGCATTGTTCTTCATAAACATTTAATCAACGTATTTTCAACTGTACTTTTATGTATTTTCATGCTTATAGCAAGAATGTGACGAACGATAACTTAGTATAAGAACAAGGACTAAGGAAAATACACGACAATGCAATGACGGACACGTCTGACACAAAGAAGTACAGCCACTTGACGTACGTAGAAAATACATCCAAAATAAATTGAAAAAAAATTCCTCTTACTTTGTTTCGTCTAACCCCAGGAGAACAATTAGTCCGGCGGATGGCGGCAAAAAAACTCACCATATCGCGGGGCAATTCAATTTTGCTTTAAAATTGTCCGAGTACGGATATAGAACACAAATCCAGATGTTGGCCTTGGTAATTTTTCTTGTGAAATCAAGCCAACACGTTTTATTGCGCTAACTCGATGACTTTTGTGTTATGATGAAAATTG